AGATTTCCAATAAAAGCTGTGATATTTCTTTAAGTGGTTTGATGCTTGGAGACTTAATCAAATTCAGTGATATGGATATTGGATATCTTGATCGGAAATGTCAGAGACAAGTAAGGATTTATCAAAGCAATTGAAGATCCTCTAATCCGGAACACTACATGATAACCGGATGTCTCGCTATAGCCCGCTGAAGGCTAAGTCATCCAAATCGGAAGACTAGCGCGGATCTCTTTCTCACCCGGAAGTCTGTGAATGACTCTTCCAGAATTGTCAGCAAAAGAACCGGATGCCTCAAGAAAAGACCGGAACTCTCAGAAGCGGACAAGTGAGAAAAGACTTAGAAAATTATCTACATCTTGAATGAAGAAATTCTACCCGTTGGTAAGGAAAAATCAACCTCTTAATTTTCAACGACCATATTGAAGATAATTAAGCTGATTTAAGAACAAATGACTTGAAGAAAAAGTTTGGACCCCTCAAATTAAAGAGCTTGTCCAGAATTCCTAAACAAACACGAGAAGACAAACTGAGTAAAGAGCTACAGTCCAGAATTCTTGAACAACAGCTAGAAGACGGATTCTGTGAAGAAAAAAGGAATCCCTCCTCAATTGGGTATGTCCAAACACCCATTCCAATGAGGAATCCTCAATCACAATCTTAATTCAAAATTGAAGCCAGCAAATGCAACAGATAGTCTATTTTGATTCAACGGATAGATTATCCAATCCAACTATAAATAGCAACCTTGGAAGACTGGAGAAAGTACGATGAGATATAAAGCACGAAATACATACAATGAAGAAAACTACATCAAAAGCTATCTCTTTCACAGTTAGCTCAAAAAGCTTGATAAAGAGAGATTTTTAAACTCCTTATCATGAAGCAAACTTCTCCTCCTTCCAAAGAGCTATAGTGTAAACAGTTGAAGGTTTCTTTGCCTCAAGTACCACACCACGTTGAAGGATATAACTTTTAATCAAACTTCTTGATTAAAAGGGGGTAGATCAACTTTCTTACAAGTTGATCTTGCAAGTCCTATTGTTCGGATCTTGCAGTTGTTGAAGAAGCGTGACCTTCGAAGGAACAACAAAGCCAGCACGAGTGTAGTAACAACATTGGCCTTGCGAAGATATACCGTGCAGAAATTCAAGCGTGACCTTTGAAGGAACAACAAAGCCAGCACGAGTGTAGTAGCAACATTGGCCTTGCGAAGATATACCGTGGAGAAATTCACGCAAGTGTAATTGTTGGTTCATTTTTCAACCAACTACATAGTGGATTACCCCACCTTCGAACCTCGTTAAAGTTTGCATGTCTCTCTCTTTTATCTTTACTTATCCTTGCAATTAATTATATTAATTGTGAAACTAACCCATCCATATTGATTACTGCTCTAACTACCCATTAACTTCCGCACACAATCTAAGGTTCACAAGAACTCTAGATTAACATTCACTTTCACGTTTTCAAAAGAAACAAAAAAGTTTTCAAATTGTTACAAAGTCTATTCACCCCTCCTCTAGACTTTGTATCTCACCACTTTGGGACCACCAATTGGTATTGGAGCAAACTTCTCACTATCTACATTTAGATTAACGACAAGCGATCATAATGGTGAACAATATGGATCACGGTTTGCCCAAGTTTTCTCTTCTAGGTTATGATGATTGGAAGATCATGATGGAAGCACACCTCTACGCTCTACATGATTGCATGTGGATGGTGCTTGAAGATGGACCCTTGAAAATCCAAATAGAGAATCCTGAGAGGAATCCAGCCAATCCTGATATTGTCCAGTACATTCCAAAGCCCAAGGAGAAATGGGATGATAGAGATTGCAAGAAGCACAATCTGGACAACGTCGCCAAAGCAGCCATCTTCAAGACACTTGATCCCATCACCTTCTCCAAGATCAAGCATCTCAAGACTGCCATGGAGATTTGGCAAGGTCTTGGGAAGCTGTGTAAGGGATCGGAGGATCTAAGAAAGCAGAAGATAGAGGTCCTACTTGAGAAGTTCAAAAGCTTCAAAATGCTTCCCATAGAATCATTTGATATGTTGGATGAAAGATTCCACAAAATTTTAAATGATCTTGCATCACTTAACCACGTTCTTTCTCCCGAAGAAAAGAATGTAAGGTTACTGAGATCACTTCCAACTGAGTGGTACACCAAAGCCACAGCCATGGAAGAAGGAAGAAACCTGGAGAACTACACTGTCCAAGGTCTCCTTGATGAGCTCAGAACCTATGAGCATGAGTTGATGAAAAAGAAGGAAGAACAAGTCACTCCCTTCCCCACGACATTGATAACAACTCCCAGAGTCCCACCAAGTGAAGGGACATGCCCACGGAACTGTGACACACCTTCCTCCAGCCAGCCGTCAAGCTCAAAAATGGAGAACTATGATGAGGAATTTGCCATGATGGTCAAACAATTCCGGAAGTTCAAGAAGTTCTTCAAGAAAGCTGACTTAGTCAAAAGGCCATCCAAGGGAAAGCCACAGGTAAGTGACTCCCCTCCTTAATCTTATTTGTGTTATAACTGCAGGAAACCTGGTCATTGGAAGTCAGCGTGCCCGTACCCAAAAGTGGAGAAGTACGGAGAAAGAGAAAGGAACGAAAAGAAAAAGAAAGCAATGGTTGCAGCTGAAAGTGACGAGTCATCCAGCTCAAGCTCGGATGAAGAAGCCCTCGTCTGCATGGAGCGCAGAGCTGAGAAGTCCAACCATGAGGATCGGCGGACTATGTCAGAAGATGACACCCTCTGCCTGATGGCCAAGGAGAATGCTGACCAAGAGGTAACTTCACAAACCTCCTGTTCATCTTCTTATGAAAGCATACCAACTTCTAAAAGTCTTTTTGACAAGTTCAAAAAAATGATGGAAGATTTTGAGGAAATAAATCTCAAACACTCATCGTTAACAGAGGAGAACAAGCTATTGAGTGAAGAGAATCTCAAGTTGACTGAAGGTCGGAAAAGTCAACTAGATGAGATCACTCAACTCAAAACTGAAAATGAATCTCTCTCTGAAAAGGTGAAATCCCTCAACAAGGAGCTAGGGATACTTAAGTCCAAAGAAGCAGTGGATAAGCTTCTTGAAACGACCAAACAAAAGGGTCGTGAAGGACTTGGGTTTGACCCCTCCAGTTCCAAAAGGAAAGGGAGAATAACTTTCATCCCTCCCAAACCTACTGCCAAAACCAATAAGCAGAAAGGAAAGGAAAAGGAGAAATCCACAGAAGTTCCCAAAAAGGTAGTTCCTCCTAAGAACTATAGGAAGCTAGACAGACCTCAAAAAGGAAATAATTTCAGAAGAAAACCTTCTAACCCCCAATATACAAGAGGCTATACTCATTATGGGGTAGATAGAAGTTTTTCGAGAAATTCTGAATGGAGAACTATGCCAAGATATAGTCATCCTCCACCCTAGAAACTATTTGTTCCACCTAAGTATGCTTACAACCGACACAGGCCACACTATGCACAACCTAGACAAAACTATAGGTCTCATCAACCTAGGTTTGCTAGGAGGAAACAGGAAATCGCACCACCTGCTCGTAGGAAATTCTATGCCTACAATTATGATTACAATTCCAACAAGTTTAGGGCTGCAAGGAAAATTCCCTGCAACTTCAAACTTGATGTAGGGACACACACCATTAACTATTCCGGACCCAAACTGAATTGGGTACCAAAATCTTCCTCCTTCTAATGCAGAAAGCCGCTAAGTACCCAGGTATCTGGTACTTAGATAGTGGTTGTTCAAGACACATGACGGGTGATGCGAGTCTTTTGAGCAATTTAATTCCCTATGATGGTCCAAGAGTTACTTTTGGAGAAAGCAATGATTTTGGTCTTACTAAAGGGCTAGGAAATCTGGTGTACAAAGGACTAACCATCGAAGCTGTATCTTATGTAGAAGGTCTCAATTATAACCTTCTAAGCATAAGTCAGTTTTGTGATAAAGGTTACTCCTTGGAATTCTGCAAGGACATGACATCCCTCAAGAACATCTCCACAAATGAAGTCATTCTCACTGGGAAGAGAATCAGAAACATCGATGAAGTGATGTGGGACGATGTCAATGAAGCATGCCTAATCAGCAAAGGTGCCCTTCTATGGCTTTGGCATAAGAGGTTGAGTCATCAGAACTTCAAAACTCTCAACAAGCTATCCAAAGAAGGGTTAGTAGAAGGTCTTCCAAGGTAGTATTCAAGAAGGAAAGCATTTGTGATGCTTGCCAGAAATGAAAGCAAGTCAAGTCTACTTTCAAGGCAAAACCGGCACCCTCAACTACAAGGATATTAAGTCTTGTTCACATGGACTTATTTGGCCCGGTTACACCAATAAGTCTAAGTGGAAAGAAATATGTCCTGGTTGTACTTGATGATTACTCAAGATACACGTGGACAATCTTCCTCAACAGCAAGAAGGAAACTCAAGGGAAGCTCACAAACTGCATGAAGCTGATTCAAAACCAAGCAAGTCAGACCATCCAGAAGATCAGATCTGACAAAGGCACAGAATTCCTGAATGAAATCATCATTCATTACTGTGAAGAAAACGGAATTCTTCATCAGAAATCCGCAACTAGGACACCTCAACAGAATGGTGTTGCTGAAAGAAGGAACAGAACCTTGAAGGAAGCAGTAAGAACTATGCTAGCCGAAGCTTTCTTGCCAAAGAAGTTCTGGGCTGAAGCTGTAAACACAGCTTGCTATACTCAAAATAGGAGTACGATTTATAAAAGGCACAACAAAACTCCCTATAAACTGTGGAATGGGAGAAAGCCTAATATATCATATTTTCATATTTTTGGGAGCAAGTGTTTTGTGTTAAGCAACGGGAAGAATCATCTGAACACTTTTGATGAGAGATCAGATGAAGCCATCTTCCTAGGATATTCCATGGTGAGCAAAGCGTTCAGAGTCTTCAACAAAAGAACCATGATCACTGAAGAGTCAATACATGTTATTTTTGATGAAAAAACATGTGGTTGACAAGCCATTAAAGCATGATCATGAGGTTCTAGATCTCTCAGACAAGGATGAAGAAGTCAATGAAAGAGATAGAATGAAGCTTACGGAGTTCATTCCATTCGGAAGTCTACCACTGAAGACTTCACAAAGAAATCCAGATTCAGACAGTGCTGAGCCTACCGGAAATCATGGCCAGCCTTCCAATATCCCGGATCACTCAAATGGCGACAATTCCGGAAATGGCGAACCAGTGCCAATCCATCCGGAATCACCAACAAATTCTGTTCTTCAACCAGAAGCTGAACTAGATCAACCAGTCAATCCTAATCAACACAATCTTCGTTGGTTAAGGGATCATCCTCCTCAACAAGTCATTGGAGATATTCAATCATGCGTTCGCACAAGGAGTGCTCAACAGAATCTTGAAGTCATGCTTGCTTGTTTCATCTCACAAGTGGAACCAAATAGGGGTAGGTTCGGTTTTAACGGTTCGGTTTTTACCTAAAACAAAAGACAGAACGAAAGGCATTTTGGCGGTGCGGTTCGGTTTTGTAAAAAAAAAAAGAGAACCAATCGTCATACGGTTCGGTTTTTAGCGGTTTGAATTTCGGTTTTTTTCAACTCATTCGGGTTTCAAAAAAATTAATTTAAAACTTAAAAGTAAAATAATATTTTAAGTAGAGACCTATTATTAAATAGATATGCCAAACAATTGGTAGAGAGTAAAGTTTGCAAACCTACAAGTAAAATAATAAATAAACTACAATTACAAGCAAAAAAACTAGGAGAAATGTTGCAATTTGCAGTAAAAAACTGTAAAACTGCACTAGCTGGCAGCTGCCTGGAATTATTCCTGGAACCAGTTCCATAAATTTCCAGTAGCTGCCTGATAGTATCATCACAGCCACCAACACAGCCTGCCACAAAATGGAAACACACAACATAAGTCCATAACCTAACAATTAGTTCTACTCCGTCAATCAAGCAAGATTTGAGGGGTCTAACTAAAATTGCAATTATCTTTCCAAAAACTTCAAGTATCAACCCAAATTAAAATGGTAGGCACATCTTTGAGATGCAAGAATCAATATTCAATATTAAACCTGCAAAAAGAACATTTATATGCATTCCAATTAGCTAGGATATACTATTAAAAATTGAACACAATACCAAAAAAGTAGTGTTGCCATAACTAATAGACCTAACCTTCTTCGTTTATCTTGTAACTTTTGGAGGCAATTTAGACCCTTCAAGTCGACCTTCATTTGAAATTTCTAAACATAAAAAGTAAAAACACAAGAAATATTATTGCCAAAATAAAGTCATAAAGGAATAAATTTTAGAAGGAAATTCATTCTAAAAGACTTAAAAAAATCACCTTTCTCAAGTTCTTCATAAAATTTCATTTCTTCAATTGTAGGCTCGTGATGTAAAGCAACATGAGTACTCTTAAGCCAATTTTGTGTGCAAATTAAGGCCTCAACCATTTTGGGGCTCAATGAACTACGAAACGGATCAATCACTCGACCACTTGTACTAAAACATGATTCAGAAGCAATCGTGGATACCGGTATCGCAAGAACCTCTCTTGCAATGCATGCCAAAATTGGGTACTTAGAGACCCCATTCACTCTCCACCAATTCAAAATATCAAAACTTGAATTATCATCCCCTTCAATTGCATCTGCACTATACCTATCCACATCGTTGCTTACAATACCAGCTTTGTCCGCTCTTCGCTTTTGCTCCTTTTCTGCCAATTTCCTCTCAACTTGTGTCATTGGTAAAACAGAATTTGTCTCTAGTGAAACTGGAAACTTATGAGAACCACTAGTAGTGGTTGTTTGAATCATCTGAGAAGGTGAAGATCCATCTGATGCATACATGTTAAGTAGAGAAACCAAAAACGTCTTCACCTCAGTAATGATGTCTTCAACCCTTTTATCTGACTCCCCATGAATTAACTCCAAATAATCCCCAAGTTTCTCAAATTTATAACGCGGGTCAAGAACCATTCCCAACAATATATAATCATTCACCTTAGTGAGATCCCCCCAATACTTATCATATTTAGCTTGCATAGGTATCGCAATAGAAGATAGAAGTGTACTTCCAAGTTCTTTCATGACACCTCCAATTTTTACCAAATCACCAAAAAGATTTGAAATTGTTGGAGTGTTTGAACAACAAACCTTTAAAGTAACTTCATAAAAAGGTCTTAAATAATGAGCAAATACCTCAGCTTTTTCCCAATCATCACAAGAAGGTGGACCTTCCCTTCCTTTATCTTCTTTGTTAGATTTGTCAGATTTAAAATATCCCAGGTAGTGACCATCATCTTCTTTCAATCTGTCAAAAGCTTTACGAAACTTCACAGAAGATTGTAACATTAAAAACGTAGAGTTCCACCTAGTTGGAACATCCATAATCACAAGCCCCTTGCTTTCAACTTTCACTTTCTCCACACATATTTTAAACATATCTAACCTTTGAGGCGATGATCTTACATATCTAACAGCATTACGAATGCTTTGAATTGACTTATTCAATAAGCCCAACCCATCACTCACAACCAGATTGAAAATATGTGCCACACATCTCATATGCAAATTCTTACCACCATGCAAAAGTGCATCTTTAATTTTCCAAGAACTTATTCTTTTAATGAGATCTTTTAAACCAGAATCATTTGAAGAAGCATTGTCAACTGTAATTGTTAAAAACTTTTCAATTCCCCATTCAATGAGACACTCTTCTAAAAGCCTGGCAATTGAGTCTCCACTATGGTTTGGAATCACACAAAAGTTCAAAATTCTTTTATGTAAAATCCAATTCTTATCAATGATGTGTGCAGTAATAACCATGTAGTTGATGTTTTGAATGGAGGTCCAAGTATCTGTTGTAAGAGACACTCTATATCCACTCAAATCATCTTTTAATTTACTCTTCTCAACATAAAACATGTTAAGCACATCTTTGGCAATCGTCTTACGACTTGGCACTCTCCAATGGGGGGATGCAACTCTACAAAAATAACGAAATCCTTCTCCTTCCACGAAACTAAATGGTAACTCATCTAAAATTATCATTTGCACACATGCTTTAGTAATTTCATCTTGAGAACTTCCCTGTACCACCAAGTCTTTACTTTTGTCATAAGTTAAAATTTTGTCTTTGACTCCATAACTCTTTATTAGGTGGGTACTCTCTACATTTATCCATGTGATTTTTCAAAGCAGTGGTACCATTTAGTTTGGGGTGAGCAGCAAAACCTTTATGCTTGCAATAATGACAAAAGGCTTTAATCTTACCAGACACAAACTTTCTGGTAAAATGCACCCAAATATCAGGCCCTTTCGTTGGCTTTCAAAGCTGCCAAGTACTCTTCTTTTGTCATTCCGCACAAGTCAATTATGTCATTTGAATTTTCAGTTGCCTCATTAGATTGCACATTACTTTCAGTCGTCTCAGATGATTGAAATGATGGCACATCAGTAATATTATCCAATGATTCAATCTCTTTCTGCAAAAACAAAAAAATTGGTAGATTAAGTTATAAAAATATTAAATATATGATGTTAAATAGAAACGAGGGAATGAGTATTTTTTAAATTTTTAACGCACTTGACTAGTTAAGGTAAATGAAAGATATGAAATGAAATACAACCTGAGAACGAGAATAAGTTCTTTTGGGAACTTTGGACTGCTTTGATATTGTTGAAGAATGTCGCTTCATACTTTATATTCCCTGTAATAAACTTATGATAAAAAATCAGTCACGTGGCTATCAAGAATCATTCACTAGTTGTCAAGAATCAATCACTTTTTTCATAAATTACTCAATATCTGCAAAGAAAGTTCTGTGCAAATTCTGTGCAAATTGAAGCGGAAGTATGGGAGCTAGTTAATAGTTAAACAAAAAAATTAAAGAACAAAGAAAACTTCTACAAAATATGAGAGTTATACAAGAGAAAACTTCAATTCCTAGAATGATTTGATAAAAAAAATGAAGAACATATGATTTCATACCTTCTTGGTTAGATGCTTCAATCTTGGACAAAAATTGAAGATTCTCGTCAATCTTGGACAAAAATTAAAGAACTGCGATGGTGGCCTGCTTCAGAGTGATTAATGAACTTCCGAGTTGGACTCAAAGAACTTCCGATGGTGGCTTGCTTCTCCGCGATGGTGGCCTGCGTGCGATTCGGAAGTCGGAAGTAGGAAAGTCGGAAGTGCTGGACTGCTGGACTCAATGGACTGCGTCTCTGATTTGAAGATTTGAGGGGTCTAACTATTGACCGTAAACCTAAAAGGCATGACTAAGTACTATTCGGTTAATTACAGTTTGGTTCGGTTTTTAATAGCCAAAACCGAAACCGAAACCGAATTAAATCGGTTCGGTTTGGTTTTTTGAGTTCGGTTTCGGTTTTCACGGTACGGTTTTTTTGGTATTGTTCGATTGATTTCGACTCGGTTTTCGATTTTTCGGACCCAGCCCTAGAACCAAAGAATATTGAAGAAGCTCTAGCTGATTCTGATTGGATCAATACAATGCAAGAAGAACTCAACCAATTTACCAGAAATGACGTCTGGAAACTTGTTCCCAGACCTACTCATCAACATGTCATTGGGACAAGGTGGGTCTTCCGGAACAAAATGGATGAAAACGGCGTTGTTGTTAGAAACAAAGCCCAGTTGGTTGCAAAAGGTTATTGTCAAGAAGAAGGTATAGATTTATAAGGACTTCAAAGTCTATCAAATGCATGTCAAAAGCGCATTTCTCAACGGAAACCTAGAGGAATAAGTTTATGTGGAACAACCTCCAGGATTTGAGTTACACACTAAAGGCAATCAAGTGTACAGACTCAAAAAGGCGCTATATGGACTCAAACAAGCACCAAGAGCTTGGTATGATACATTGTCTTAATTTCTTATAGACAATGGATTCATCAAAGGAGTCATTGACAAGACCTTATTCAAACTTCAAGATGGAGAAGATCTCTTATTAGTCCAAATCTATAACACCCTAATCCGTCCAGGTTTACAGCCCCTTCCGAACTAAAGTATTAACTTGGTAATCGTATAATTTAAAACATTTCAAATAACTTTATTCATCATAAATGAAATTCCAAACATAATTGTAGTAAATACGGAGTGTTTAATGCGGAAGCGATTTTTAAACATGACTCATAATAACATAATCATTTATTTTCTCAATAAATCCACCACAACTGTCTCGCCCCTTCCGCTGCCAAGAACATGCCATTCACTCATTCTGTCTACCTGCATGTAGCAAATAAAACATACTACACGCTCAGCGATGAAGCTGAGTAAGCATATCTAAAGCGTCGAACATCCACATAAATTGAATCTAAATTCACAAACAACCATTTGATATCATGCACACAAAATATGGTTCAAACATTCATAATATTTTCAATATTTTATTCCAAGTCATTTGATATTCAATATATCAATAATGCTCTTAAATTATTCTTAATCTAAGGCCACATCATTTTATATTCAGCTCTTAGCTATTCCTAGTCTAAGGCAGTAATTCTAACCAGGCCCTTAAACTATAAATAGTTTAATGCAGAACACAAGAATCGATAATCCACC